AAAACAATATTTCTTGAGAAACCAATGCTAAATTTTTTTTTTCCAGTACTAGGGATCAAACTCAGGACCTTTCTCTTGCCAGGCAGGCGTGGCACCACTGAGCTAAATCCCCAGCCCAATGCTAGATATTTTTCATGCTTCATTTTTCTTATTAGTCATTAAGAACTCTATTGGTCTAGTATTATATACTATTATCGCCCCTATTTTATAGATCAGGAAACTGATATTCAGAGGAGGTAAGTCATTTGTGTAGCTAGTGAGAATGGAACTTAGATTGAATGTACTCATTGCTGGATAATTTTTAAATAGTAAAATTAAATATTATTTTTAATTCCTGTTTTTTAATATTCATCTTTCAACTATTTTAACAGAATGTAGGCATTTGCATTGAAAACTGTTGAAGTTTAACAGTCTGATCATTGGCTCATCAGGCCCAATATTTTATCTTGGGTAGTGACATCAGGTGCAGAGGACCATAATATTGATTATGTCCAAAGCAGGCTTTGAAGAGTTAACCCCACAATTAGCTTGTTTATAGAATTGAGTCTAGCCGAAACCTATGTGCTGAGGTCAGAGTAACTCACCCAAATTCCGTTCCCACAACTAAAACCTTCTGACTAGAAGGACAGTGTTCTAATTACAATCATATATTTTGTCTGTTCTGTTCCTAATTTGAGAATGCTTTTTCTTGTCCTTTATGAGCCTTGTTTACATTAATTTCCATAGAAACCGCAGGTCACCTTTACTCCAAGTGATTGCCAATAAAAGTCAGTGACTGAGACTGTCCAGAGCCTTTGTCAGTTACACCGACACTGGTCATCCTGGCACCCCAGTTTCTCTTAGTTCTGTCTCTTAGTGTATTTTTTTCTCAGGCCTGCACTGCACACTGGGCAAGTGCATCTAGAGACTTACTGCAGGAGTCTCTGGCAATCAACATCAATAGTCATGAAAAAAAATAAATGGCATTTATAATCTTGATTGCAAAAAAAAAAATTAGGTTATAGCCAGGGATTTAGTTCAGTGGCACTGAGCCTGCCTGTCAAGCACAAGGTCCTGGGTACGATCCCCAGTACCCCCCGCCCCCAAAAATGAGGCTATGGATTCATAAGAGTATTCAACTAAACTATTCATATAAAAATTAGAGCATATTTGACAATACTATTATGGCTTTTTGCTTCACAACATTTTCTAACAGTGTTAGATATTATTTTTAATATATGTGCTGCTGAAGCGAGCACTAGATATTATTTTTTAAAAGATCAGGAGCCAGATGTGGTGACACACACCTGTAATTGATTAGCAGAATTCTAGGAGACTGAGGCAGGGGGATCCCAATTCAAGTTACCCAGTTACCAAGCCTGAGTAACTTAATGCTGTAGGGAAGCCCTATCTAAAAGTAAAAAAAGGTTTAAGGATAGGGCTCATAAAAACCGTGGGTTCAATCCCTAGTGTCTCCAAAAAAAAAAACCAAAACCAAAAACAAAAACAAAACAAAACAAAAAAACCAGATCTGGAATACATCCACATGTTGGCATCATTTAATTCATCTACAGATCCATTTACTCAGTTTTTCCAACCATGTCTTATTTTTACTTTTTAATACGTTTTTAGTATTATTTTTTTAAAGAGTATCAGATCTTTTATTCCTTCTAGTAACATTTACTTCAATGGAATCTTCAACTTCTAATATTTTCAAAACTCCATTCTAAACTCCCTGGGACTTCAACCTTTAATGAAAATACTTTTCAGAACTTTCAAGAAACAAAGATACTTTAAATTGAATGATAAACACAGCATATCACAGTACGTGAGCTCCCACTATAACGGTACTTATAATTTTAAAAAACCTAAACTTAAAAAATATCAGTGTAAATCAAGTATTTCAACCTAGTTTGAAAAAAGCTAGACAGACTAAAAGAACAGATAAATAAGGTCAAAATTTGGTTATTTTAAGTGACTCATATACTTCATCTACCCTTACCAAGTCTAATCTAATCAAAAGGAAAAAATACAAATTACTATTATTAGGAATAAAAGAAGGAATATCTGGACAGATCTTCCATGTTTTAATTATTTTTATTATAATCATTAACACATACTAGTTGTATAAACTAATGAGTTTCACTGCGACATTTCCATGCATGTGTGTATCTGTCCTGCTTTGATCATATCCACCCTCCCTTTTGCCCTCTTCTCTTTCCTTCTTCTTCCCTAATAGTCACTCCTTGATCTTCTTCCCACTTGAAAAGAAAAATACTCGAATATCATGAGAATACCATTTATGTCAATAAAATCCAGTACCTGTGATGAAATGGAAAAATTCCTTAAAAATTTAAATTTCAAAGTTTACACTAAACAGCAGGCAGAGCGATACACACTGGTAATCCCAGCAGGGAGGCTGAGACAGGAGGATCACCAAGATTTCAAGGCCAGCCTAAGCTACATAAGTGAGTTCAAGGTCACGCCTGAACTACATAGCAAAACTCTGTCTCAAAAAAACAAAACAAACAAACAAAAATAAAATCACACTGGAAAAAAATTGAGCATCAATTAAAGAAAATGTGTTCAAAAATCTTTCCACAAAGAAAATTCTCAATAATCTCAGTTTGCTTCACAGGTGAATTCTACTAAATGTTTAAGGAAGAAAAAAAATACAAATCATATACTAAACTTTTGCAGAATTTGGAATTAATATTTCCCAATTCAGTATAACTCTGAAATAAAACCTCACAAAAGCATCAGAAGAAAAAAACCAAAGGCCAGTATCTTTCATGAATTAAAAGTCCTTTTAAAAAGGAAAACCAGCAATGTATTTTAAGAAAATACATCATGGTCAGAGTGTGCCCAAGAAATTCAAGAAGGTATCTAAGACTAGGCACTACCACAGACTCATCTCCTCCAAGGCCCCATCACACCTCACAGGCAGTGATCTCTATCAGGTTAAGGTGTTTCTCACACCTAAGCAACACTACATCAGCTAAGCAATTTTTTACATCCTTCAAGGCTTAGTCTAATTGCTACCTTGTCTGGGAAACAATGGATTGCTATTCATTTGTTAAAATTCTTACACTGAAAAGAGTACACAAGAAAAGAAAAATCACGACAAAAATGTGCCAAACTAAAGTATCCTCAGAGAAATAAAAATATACCACAACCAAGAAACAATATGACACTATTTGCAATTTAAAATGTGTGTAATATAAATTTAGAGGAATTCCTCAGATGTAAATATAAAAGGCACAGAGATGGAAAATGGGAAAATTTTATAGGATCAATTTATAGGCATAAACCCTAGTAACAGGGTTTTTAAAAAGGGAAGACCAGGAGGGGAGAGAGAGGGAGAGAGAGAGGGAGAGGGGGAGAGAGATTACCTAAAGATATAAAGCAAGAAAATGTAAGTTTCTGGACTGAAAAGGCCCAAGTCCCAAGTACAATGGTAAAAAAAAAATGACCCAATATAATGTCAAATATCTTCAATATTTATAGCAAGTTAATAAGGTGCTAAAAATGACAAAAGAGAAGAGGGGGACTCACCAAAGTCATGGATAAAGGATCAGTGATCAGAATGGTATTGTATTTCTTGGTAGCAATATGAAAAGGTAGAATACCATGAAACAGTCCCTATAAAATTTACAGAGAAACTTATACCTACCCTAGAATTAATTCCCAGGCAAATAATCAAGTTACAGTCTGGGGAAGAAAGACATTTTTTGGCAGCAAAGTTTTAAAATTTTCCTACCACACATACCTTCTCAAGAAATGACTAGAAGAGTTAGGTGCTCTACCAATAAACCAACGAAGGAGAACAGAGGAGACAGAAATTTCCAGGAAGGCTAAAGGATGAAAGAAAATACTAGGATTAAAAGTGTGCATCCTGCCCAGATTGGAGAGCTCTGTAAGACATGTAACCAAATAAAAATAAAAATGATAGCCAATTTAAGATTAAAAGGAAATTTACACTTCAAATGGAGATAAATTAATGATAGGACACATAAAAAACTAATCAAACAAAAATCATAGTAATTATAAACAAAGTAATCAATTCTAGGAAAAACAAAACCTTACAGGAGAAAGGAATACTGGACGGTATACTGGACCTCAGTAGTGACAATTATTTATATATTAAAAAATATACAGATTGAACAGTAATTCAACCGAAACTGTGTCAAAACTATGATGGAAGGAGGGGCAAAGGACACACACACACACACACACACATGCAACCAAACTTCATCAACTGTGTTAGGAGTTAAAGACATTATATTATAGCGATACACACATACTCAAGCATATAGCAGTACAATTCACAATAGCTAAATCTTGGAAATGCCTACATGCCTATCAACAGGAAATGGATAAAGAAAATGTACTATTTATACACAATGAAGTACTACTCTGCCATAAAGAAGGATAAACGTGAGTCATTTTTAGGAAAATAGATGCATCTTGAGACCATAATGTTAAGTGAAATAAGTCAGATATACAAGCTTAAAATATCCCATGGTTTCTTTTATATGAGATTCCCAAAATATAAATAAAGAGCAAAATAAAAGACAGATAATAGGAAGTATGTAGATCTGTTTCAAATGGAAAGGGGACTAAGTGATGGAGGAAGGGAGAAGGGCAAAGAAGGAATGAAAAAAGAATTGGGATGTGTTATGTAGATGTACAAACTCCCCATATGGAATGTAATCATTGTGTAAATCAAACATGTACTCACAAAAAATAAAAGCTGAAAAAAAGCACCCTATCCCCCAAAACAAGCCAGAATAGAGGAGGATACATTCTGGAAAATGCATTGTTAATCCATTTCATGTGAACATTAGACTGCCTTATATAAACTAAAACAGCTAGCTCATCAGCAGATAGTGGGAGGGGAGAATGGGGATAATCACAGGGGCCAGCACATGCCTCTGAGCCACAGTCTGTCTCCCACAATAGTCTTAATGTAATCTTATGAGCTTGTGGTCACTGACAAAAACATTACTTTGTGTCTATAGTCTCAGTTACCTGGAAGGCTGAAGGAGGAGGACTGCTTGAAACCAGTAGCAAGACCAGCCTGGATAAAATAGTGAGACTGCATCTCAAAAACATGACAAGACTGAGGATACAGCTCAGTGGTAGCACACTTGCCTAGCATGTGCAAGATCCTGGGTTAGATTGCCAACACCAAAAAACAACAAAAAAGTATTTTTTAAAGTAATGATAAACTCAAAAAGGACAAAATAAAAACTAATTCATTACAAAGTTAAGATTTAAAGTGTAGCTCAGTAATAAAGCACTTGCTTAACATGAGTAAGGCTCTGGGTTTGATCCCCAAGAACACCAAAAGAGAAAAAAAATGTAATAAAGTTCTAACAGAATTTTTTTTAAATATAAAGAACAGAATTCCTAATAAAAACAGTGTAAGGAACAATACATTCAGGATAGTGGTTCTTAAATACATATTAATAGACTTGAACTTCCTAAATTCTTTCCCTTCTGCCACATGACTTTTTATTCTCAAGTAACATTCTCTGTATGGTTTACTTAAAATTAAATTCTATTTAGTAATCATTAACTCTCAAATCCAAGTAAAAAGATGGATTTTCATATACGTATATTTTGCATTGTGTATGTACACACACAATTAGGAGTCATTTCTTGCGTTTCTTTGTCCTAGCCCTAGAAATCTCCAAAAGCTTTTTAGTCTGAGAATGTTAGGTAGAATATATATTTATTGAAAAGAATCCCCTTTTCTTTTTAAACCTCTCCCTAAGTTTAGGGGGAAAATAATTTTTTTTCAGTAGATTCAAGTACCTTACTTTTAAAGGAAGATGAATGCCTCCAATATTTCATTTATACTTAAAAATTATAACAGTTTATTTAAGCTTTGTAATACATAGGTCAGTGGTAATATATCATTTTACTTTTTTTACTTTAGTTACACTTTTTGAATCTGATAAGTATCACATTAATAATGCTAATACAGTGATTACTTTTTTCTCTGGAGGCACACTCCTACTATGACCATTCACTCTTTTATGCTATTTACTTAATTTTTCATAACTAAATCATCTGAATGCCCATGTTTACATGAACATGTCTAATAAACTTTCTGGAGGGAGGACATTTATATCAAATGGTATCTTTTGTGGATAGTCATAATTTTTTCATATATTCAATGACTATTATTAGGTAGTGATTGGGTTGGCTACTGGGCAGTACCAAAAGACAATCATGCTTCCAACCTAATGGACTGCTACATGTATATCAGTTAAACAACATATTTGAGCTCAATCAATAACCATATTGCTAACTTCAAAATCTCTACGTCAACTTCAACTTCAAATAATGGTATCCAGAGAAAAGACCAATTGTTGAGATTTACTCCAGTTCCTGAATCTACTAGTCATTTTCCCAGAGTATTATCAGGAGCTATTAAAGAACAAGTCATTGCAGAGGTCCGTGCCAACCTGAAAAGGATAATGCAATTCCTCATAGAATATGAGAAAAAGCTAGAAAATGCTTTCTGCACACAAATGAGTACCTGAAGTCATTGGTTCTTGAAAATTAACAGACTATTTTGAGATACTATAATTAAAGAAAAAATATCAGCTTTGTAACCTAGGATATTAGGGATGTGGAGGAGCACAGTTATGGAGATTAATTTTTTCCCACATACTTCCCTTCACCAAGATTAAAACTCATGTTTTTCACTAGGACCACAAACACACAAAAAATTCATTTATGCCAAAGTGAGATTCTTTTCCATCCTAGTATCTTCCTAGTATTAACAGTGTTATTACTTTGAAATTATTACTAAAAATAGTTTTAACTAGTGAATAATACCAACATTTAAATTCTGGATTGAAATCAAAGGCTGGGCTATTAGAAGAAAAAAGTAGCTAAAACAAAGACTGTGACGCAAAAAACAAACAAACTGTATTACTATTTTTTAAATGCAACTACAAGACGTATAAACTAGGAAAATATCACATTTTTAAGCAAGTACTAAGTATAAAAATATCTTTAGATATATTTTAATTATGAAGAATGGAGAGGTTTTTTTCATGTATGGGTTTTTAAAAAATAGTATCCAATAATAAAGTTGAAAATGAGTTATGTTGCTATTATATACATAAATATTTGTATATGTTGGCAAAGGTACACCTGAATATCCCAATGGGTCAAACATTAGGAAGACAAGGGTCTAACCTTCCTAAAGGTTAAATATTATTCTATTCTAGCTCCATAACTAACAGATGATTTTTACTCTCACTTTACATTAATAAAGTTTTATTGTTGTGAATATTTTTTAATGATAGTGATGTTACATATGTAACTTGCCTGAATGACAAATGAAACGAACAGAACCAAAAAGATCTTCTGGAAGATGGGTATGTGGAGCAGAAAGTGGGTCTACATTCTTATCTGAGGATGCTCTCTCCTCGAGCCTGTCTGCAAAAATAAGATGAAATAAAATAAAAAAGAAAAGAAAATGGTCTTTAAATCAAAAGTGATATACTTGTATATAAATAAAAAGTGAAATTAAAACAGCCTTTTTGAAAAGTATTAGATTCAGAGTTGCATTGTTCTAAGTAGTAAAGTATAATCTGGAGCCTAATACATTATTTCTTGCTACAAAGGAAGTCTCACAACATAATCAGTACTAGGTTTCATTAAATACAATTAAACCAATAAATAAGCCCATGTGGTTGATTTAAATACTAGTTATCTGTAATGTTTTAACATATTGGACCTAACTGTAAGCCCTATTTACTAAACAAAGACATATCTGGGCAGACTTTCCCTAAAAAATTTGTAAGAAAATATTGCAAATGGACATTTATCCATAAAAATAGGTAAATTCTATTTCTCAATAAAAAGTAATTCACTATATTTTACTTTATTATTCATTTCTCATTTTTGTATTAGTATCAAATCATTCACATACAAGCACAGATACAAAAACACAGATAAGGACAGAGTTTATTTATTCATCCAATAAATATACAGTATTAACATGTAGTATGGGCCAAGCACTGTTCTAGGCAATTGGTGTGTAACACGAAGCAAAACAAACACCCCTGCCTTCATGTAGCTTATATGGTGAAAAAACAAATAAGCAATGAGCATAAGAAGAAATGTATGCAGTATGTTTAAAAAAAAAACTGATGAAGATAAAGAGAAAAATGTAGTGAACAGGAATTAAGGAAGTGGGCAGTAACAAAGTAAAATAGTAATCAGGTAAGTTATTAGGTGAGAAAAGACTTCTAAGAGGCCAGGTAGTGGATACCTGGGGAACAACTCCCAGAAAGAGGAAGGCCTGGAGCACATTCATGGCAGGAGTAGGACTAATATGTTAGATGCAGAGGTGATGTATCTTAATTTGGTATTTAATTATCTTTTCCCTGCTCATAAACTCTTCCCATAAGTGACTCTTGTGTCAGCGGAGAACTTCCAGATTTCTCAGAATGTCTCTCTCCTCTGATTCTTAGCAATTCAAAGTATGCTATTTGAGACTTATTCAGGCAGCTGTGTTAGGCATTCCCAGGACTATGCCTCTGGTCCATCACCATTCATAGAAATCCAATTCAGATTTCGGCTTGTCTATAGTCAAGAATTCCTTGTTGGTTTCAACTGAATTCTAAGGTACAAGGTATGGCAGGAGTGGGAAAGGGAAATACAAATAAAACTGGAAGTCCTAAAAACAACTTGTGACTTAAGACAGAAGCAAAAGGCTCCAAGGTAAAGCTGGATCCCCACAGTAATGGGAACCTTCAAGACCAGTGGTGGTGAACCTATGACATACCTGTGGAGTAGGCTGTTTGTTATCACTGAAAGCACTTAAAGGTTCACTATCATTGTTTTAGAGCTTTCAATGAATCAAACAGCCCCCAGCAGCTTGTGCCTAGGTTCACCACCACTGCATGACAATACTTCTCAAATTAAGTTAATGTGCATTCTAATCACTTAAGAATTAGTTAAAATATAGAGATCCTGAGATTTTGCACTTCACCAAGACCCCAGGTGTCCACAGAGAACAACTCTTGAAAAGGCAAGGCCTGGAGTCTATAATATCCTAAATATACTTAATTGGTAGTTTAAAAAGCCTTTAGAACAATAGATACAATTAACAGCTTTTATACCTAAGATAAACTCTGCAAAACCCATACAAAATAATCTTGGGTTGTTTAAAATTTTAATTAAAATTTTGTTGAAATAATAATATTATGTTGAGATACTGATACTGAGTTACTGAACACATCTGAAAACTGATTTATGAACAAACAGATTTCTAAAGTGCTACTTTTCAACTCCAACACTGAAACTGATAACAATGAAAATTTATTTTAGGTCTTATGTTTGAAAATAATAAATGTATATTTAATTCAAGAAATCAGTAAATGCTTACTGTACCATGAAAAATAATTTTTTTTAACATTTTGTCATCAAACACCTATTTAAGAGAAGCTATTCTTATAGCATCTTAAAAAGTAAGGTTCGAAAATACATAAGGAAAGGTTTCTAACTTACTCTACTGGGGAGCCATAATCAGGCCTAAAATTCACTGAATTAGAGAGATTACCTGTGGATACTTCTTGTCCTCCTAGACTTCCTTTTCCATCCCCTAACCCGAAGATTCTGGTATACAGAACAGTGAGGACAAAGGCAATAGGGACTGGGAAAGAACAAATGAGTAACTTAGAATGATAACCACCACACAGCAGTGTCCAAGAGCCCTCATTCTTGAAAATCAAGACTAAGAGTACAGAGGTACTGACTTAAGTCTGAATTAAGACCAAACTTCCTTCCTAAGCAATCTACATCATAATTGCCAAGATTCCTATATTAAATTTAGTTACCTGGACCTAAATGAATTTTAACATGCTTTCCAATTTACAAACTATTATTATACCAATGGTTTCCAGATTAAAAAGCTGCAAATTACTACTAAGTCTCTTTAAATCCTTGTGCACTTGGTATACTGTCTCCATCAATCCATATGGGAATTTATGATACTATATATAAAGAACCCTGTGCAGTTATGACAAGAGTACAAACATTGCCACTTAGTGGTAAATTAATTTTTTTATGAGTCTCCATAAGTAACACTATGGGAGACACTGTTCAATGTAAAGTTCATTATTTTAAAACAGAAATTATTTTAAAACAAAAAATTCGTAATAAAATGAACCATATCCTCAATGTTTCACAAAAGAGAATCGGGTTTTTTGTTTTTTTGATACCGGGGATTGAACTCAGGACCTTGTGCTTGTGCGGCAGGCAGTGGAACCACTGAGCTAAATCCTTGGCCCCAGAATCAGCTTTTTAATGGGATGTTTTTCAGTCACTTGGATTTCTAAAGTTCATAAGATAAGCTGGGTCCCAAGACACAAAATACAAAATAAATACACATTAATTTTAAATAATTATAAATAAAAATAAATAAGATGGTTAGATAAAACTACTTTTCAAATATAGTCAGCCCTAAAATGTACTTAAGTACTATTTTCAAATGACTGGTTTTCTTTAAATCACAATGAATCACCAGCTTTGTGTCCAATATAAGAAACCCACCTACCTCTTCCTGCCTTCCCAAAAGAATTATGTTGGCAAAGACAGTTACTTTTCCAAGAATTTTAACTGATACAAATGGCAAAAACACAGAAATCCTAGAATCAAAGTATATTCCATAATATCACCATAAAATTTTAAAAACTAAAACGTTCATTCTGTGCTTACATGCATAATGGCCGAAAAGGCTAAAAGATTAATGACTAAGGTCTTAAAGAGCACTCTTCCTTCATCTGATACCCCTGAAACTGTTCCAGTGTACCTGAGAAGTGTGTTAGTCTGCACTGAAGGCACAGTAATAGGTCTAAATGAGCTAAAAGGAAGTAAGAGTTAATGTTTTACAATAAACTACGTATTCAGACACGTATACCTATTTTATTCTGTGGCTTTGTATATAAAACATATTCAGTAGAATTGTACAGCAGCTATAATTTTGGGGATCTTCTATTCTTCCTTTTTATTTATTTTGATGAAATTTTAAAGGAAAACAAATCCACTATCAAAAAATTTTAAGTATTATTCTTATTTAGTAACTATACAATTACTTGAATAATTTCCCCAAACACCTCAACTCTAATTACTATTTAATGTATTAAATATTATGACAATTAGATATGTAAATTCAACATCCAAAATCTGGATGTTTTGGTACAAAAGACAATGACAAATACAAGCTTAAGTTTTAAAAAAATATTGCACAAGCTTCATTACTAATGCTAAAACTTCTGAACCATATATAGCATTCACTTATAATGAAAGTAAAAGACAAGTTTATCTTATGTTATATCTCTTTGCATAGTATATGCAATCAACTATTTTCTTAAAGATCACTAAAAAAACCAAAGTTGTTATCAATTACTAATATTAATATCTCAAAATGTTACTATGCTTTTAAAATTACCTTCTGGATAATGCACAGAAGTTAGATATTTTCCAGACAGCATATTCTTTCTCTTTTCTTTTTGTAAAAGAAGTATGTATCCCTTTACAAGTAAAACCTTAAATGGCAATGTATTATTCTGACTGTAGGATGCTTCCCAACCATTACATCATTATATAGATGATACCTATATTTTTAAGGACCAAGTAAAGGCTTTCAGTTTCTCATTGGAAAGCATTTCAAAACTAAATATAGTTTGTTGTTTTAGAAGCAACTTTGGAAATTGTTAAAAAATATCTCTGCCAAGAAACAAGGCACAAATATTTTGTTTTGATATTTCAAATGCATCAGTGATTTATTTCTTCATTTTGGAAAAAGTCATTAGGGAGAGAAAAACCAACCAATAATGCCACCAATTTTCACTGTAATCAGTCCTCTGCTGACATTCTTAAGGTCCTGGCAGAGGTCTTTTGCCTGTCAAAGTAGATCAAATATTAGATACATACTGCTTGTATCTTAAAGAGATAGTAAAAATGACTGAACACACTTAAATAAAACTTTGAAAGAAAAAGTTTCTAAACTACACATTCTATACATTGTTAATCTCTTTATAAACTTTACTAAAGATGAGCTTCTCTGATCCCTATTACAATGACTGTTAATGATGAAGGAAAAAAACATCATTTCCCATCGGTTTCCTTCTTGTAATTTGTCTATTCTGCTATTGATGTTTCTCCACAGAGCCATTTCTAACTTGATTTTTTTTTTTTTTTGAGGTACCAGGGATCAAACTCAGGACCTTGCACTTGCGAGGCAGGTGCAGCATCACTGAGCTAAATCCCTGGCCCTCTAAAGTGATTTTTAATATTAAGTGAGCAGCTGAGAAACTTGATCATTTAGATATAATTTTTAAATACCAATCGAACTGAAGACCAAAAACCTCAAGTCAGACCCTAAAGATGTTTACAGAAGGTTAGGAAAGGAAAAGTGGTATTTATTTACAAGTATCCAAACTCTTTAAAAGCATTATTTCATTAAGTTCTCCATGGAACCTCATGAAGTAGGTACCATCTATCCCAGGTTATAAAAAACACTGTGAGACTGACAGCAGCTGAGTGATTTCACAGAGATTATAATCTTATTAAATACCATTGTCAGGGATCAAATCCTATTTTCTGATACTATCTGTTAAATTAAGTGCAAAGGCCTTTCACTGAAACAGATTTCAGTAGCTTGGGAATAATTCTCTTCCAAATGGCAGAGGTTGCTCCAAGTCTGACTTTCAGACAAAGCTCTTCCTGTGCTTTCATTGGTACCCTTCTATAATGAACACTGCAATGAAGTCTGCTATCTTTGGCATACATATATACACAAATATTTGTACAAATTATACATATTATCTGACAGTGAAGTTTGAAAATAAATAGCTGGTTCAAGATTTTACAAGCTGAGCCAATTACTGGTGAAGTTATATATACAGGCATATTCATATAACATTCTTGCCCATGCCAAATAAATAAAACTTAAGTGTCATTACAATTCTAAGCTTAGAGAAGCACATTTTATGAGGTTAAAAAATGAGAATCTTTTACCTATTCCATAAACTGATTTTTTTTTAACCCAAGGAGTAGAAAATACTGATTTAGTACACCCTTGTCAGAACACAGTAAAATGAATACCTTTTGCTTTTAAAATAATCCTGTATGCTATGATTTGGCTATTCTATCTTTCACCTACTATCTCTTCAAAAGAAAGGGATACTTTTTTCCTTAGGGGGCTATTCAACATAAATTGCAGGGCAAAATGGCAACAAAAAAATGTATGGTTTTAAAAATGTAGTAAGATATGATTAGTTCTACCAGTTAGCAAACTTTTATTAAGAGCTCAGAACTCATTTTTATATCTACGTTTAATCAATTGGACTTTCAGAATATATACCTGATATGTAAAATACAAATTTAAATCTCAAACAATTATCCTTACCTGAATGCAAGGAATTTATAAATTTTACATAAAATATATGCCAGTTTAGAACAAACATTTCATCTACTAAATGAATTCAGAAGACCAGTTAAATGAATAAAATATGAACTGGGCACTACTGGGACCTTCTTTTCACATGCAGAAGGTAAAAACATACTTTTGTATGTGCATGTGCACACATGCACACACACCAGAAACCTGAAAATTATGTGTATTCCAGAAGTAACCTTTATGATCCTAGCTTGCAAATCTCAAAACATCCCAGACCCCTCTTCAAAAAAAAAGAACATTTCTAAAATATGTATGGGGAGGCTTGACATATTATTAGGTAGTTTAAGAAAAGGCAATGAATGATTCCAAGTAAAAACATTGAGATAATTGATTTAAAGTGGAAAACAATTTATTTAACTTTCGCCATATCAGGACAACAAAGCAGCCCTTTCATGTAACCACTCATTAAAAAGGTTTTACAGAACATTAACATAATGTAGTAGCCCCCATTTTCTTTCAGGCATTTTCAAAGGGCATCTCAGACCCACAATATTTTCAATTGGGTGTGCAAAAAACAGAGCTACAAAATGATTAGTAAGGTAAGATACTAATGTCTCCCTTTTTATTTGAACATTAATTTCCCATGTTTTGGAGATATTGTGATTTTAACATTCATAGATATGTAGTATTTAAATGTCAGGGTATCAACATACTATCAGCAATCTTCGGTTTAACAGCTACTATATCAAGCAACTAGTTTCTAATGCATACAACATAGTCTGATAGTATATATGAAAGAAGATGGCCTGAATTTTGCCCTCAAATGCACAAAAAGAATTTTCTATATGTCTCCTCAAAATGGTCTTTGGCCTTGCTGAATAATTATAGAGTTGTTATTTTACTCTGATGCAAAATAAGCCTTCAAGTGTCCCTTACTTGATCTTAGAAGGTCAAATTCTCTGTCCAACAATTCTTCTTCTGTTAACTTGGAGAAATTATCCTCTCCAAAAGGATTCCACCCTGACATATCAGGTGGGTTATTGATGTTCTTCTGACTTGTAAAATTTGCAACTGCTTCTTTCTCAGACACTGACCTGTTATAATTGAGAGAAGAAAGAGAAGGGAAAAACATCAGAATTTAGAAAAACTTACAGTGCACCAGTTCACACTTTATGGATGCTTAAATAACCAGACCATTTTACTGCAATGGAAATGGCAGATTATGGGTATGGGGTAGAGAGAAAGAACACTTGGGATTTGAACCACCTCCATAAGGCACACTACCTCTGTTATCTCCTGTGTAAAGAACGCTAGCTGTGGTCCTTAACCTCTCTGTGCAGCAGCTTCCTCATCTATAGCAGAAGAGTGACAGTATCTACCTCACAGGATTACTGAGGTGATTAAATGATGTAAAACATAAAACAAGAATAGTATCTGGGAAAAATAAAATAATAAAGTAAAAGAAGCACTCAATAAATACTGGTTATTATTCCCATAGTATACAAGTTTGAAGGTGAAAATCAGCTACAATACCAAATAGTATTACTCTAAAATAACTACTTACTAAATACAGTCCTGGTTATGCAGGATACTACAGTAATTTTCCTTTTGAAAAAGATATTTGTTTCATATAGCTACCCACAGAGGATGAGCTGCTAGGACTGCTTTATGAAGTAGTTGAAGTTAAATGATGGTTATTTTGTATGTTCATAATAAATTATTCCTGGTGTTTAAAGCATCTATAGTCTGGAAACTGAGAGGACTGGTTCTTTGAAAGTTACCTGACAGGCTTCTGGGCTTTTCAGGGAAGATATGAATTGAAAGACTTCTTAAGCCAAGAGTCCCTGGGTACCTCTCCCTTAACCCAAGTCTGGAACCACAGCATGGGAATGAGGTAATGTAACAAAGCTGTCCAAGTTTCTTTCATCATTCAGAACCAGATCCTCTAATACTGACAGTGGTGGGAGAATCTTCATGTTCAAAGAAATATCTCAAGTTCGCAAGACTTGACTCATTCTTTTAAATGCACTTTTCCATTGGCAGCTTACTCTCACTGCCACTCTCACTGTCTTAGAATGGAAAAGAAGATGTCCATTTAATCCCTTATTCTAAGCTTCCTCAGTATATATGAACAAAGAACAGAATGTTTAACCAATTATTTCAGGTTAGAGTACAGAAAGAAAAACACTAATACCTAGAAGTACACATATTTGCTTATAAACAGAACTTACATATTGCCATGGCCCAAATCTAACTCCATCTGACAGAAGCCCATCTCTAATCCCAAAACTATTTTCAAGCACTTTCAGGGCTCTCAGAACAAAGAGCAGAAAGGGGAAAAACTCAAGAACATGACCTCTTCTCCACTCAACAAATAACATCCACTTCCACAATAATTTGCTTTGCACTGACAGGAAAAATACTTGCCTATCGGCATTATATGAGGAGTCCATTATGGTTCCAACTTGAGCTGGAAGTGATGAAGTATAAGAAACTAAGGCTGGTGAGAACTCTTGAGGGGAGGTAAGATATTCAGGTGATGCCTGTTGTCGAGACTGCTGATGCTGAGCTAGCATCTGCTGCTGCAAGAAAGCCTGCTGATACTGCTGCATCTGAAACAACAAACACCATCACCTGGATGAACCCTTGACTCACTGAAGCATTCTGTTTCACAAATATTTTCCATAGTTCTTCCTTTTCAAACTGGTGGCAAACTAGAAATCTAAAACACAATGTATATTTGAAGGAGCAGCTCCATTAACTAGAAAACTACATAGCAGGATGAATTGTATCTATTTAAAAGGTCGTAAAGCTAGGCTCCCTTGGCCATGTTTTTAAAAGATCCTCCTTTCTCACATTCCCACTGGCTTGAACATGGGTGGTATAGGCATGACTGTCCCACAGGGCAGCATGTACCACCAATGATACATGCATGACTGTCCCATCAGACACCTTGCACCATTGGTAATACAAGTAGTACAGTTACACATGGGACAGTCATGTACCACTTGTGGTTCAGGCTGCCAAGCAGGGAAATATGAATTATGGCCCTATCATGAACATGTTAAGTATTTTAGAAAAAGCAAGAAAATACTTAAAATCACTAGTATGCTAGTTACTACAAAAAAGGTCCTGAGGCACAGGTATCTAAAGCACATATACTTTTCCTTTCAATTTCATTTTACTCAACAGGTATTTACTGAATAAAAGGGACACAGGCCAAATCATTTTCCTTATAAAAGAAGCATGGTACCAGTCAATTCCAATATGCCATTTTCAGGTACCACAGGTCAGTATAATTAAAGGCTTCTTGAGAATATATGGCTGTCTTCAATAAAATACATGTCAATTCACTAACTTGAACTTATTTTGAATTGTTGAATTCTATATAACACCATTTATACTGTGAATTGCAAAATTATAATACATACCCAGAGAGAAATCTCTAGAAATTATACAACACTTACCACTGTAGGATACTGTGATGCAGGAAGTTGCGGCTGATATACTGAATGCATTAAAAACTGTTGCTGAAGTATCTGTTGCTGCTGCACTTCCTGCTGGTACTATAATGAGAAAAGACCAAAAAAAATATTACTCATGCCTTTCTATGCCAAAATCCCTTTTTCTAAGTACTGATTTTACCAGGGCAATAACATAGAAAGTAGCTATAGTACGTAAGTAACTATAAGTTATATATTGTTATCAGAATTGTTTTATTGTCAATGAAACATAACAGATTTAACTAAAACCATATTCAAAGCAGTTTAAGGACATCTGGAAGAAAGTTGATGCTAAACACTTTCATCATCTCTTCCTAGAGGATAAAGGCCACTGAAGCAACTTCGCGCCAGGACCCATTACAATAAATCCCACTTTCCTCTGTTTCACCTTCAGTAGTGTCTTTTGGCCATCCGATCATGCACCATTTCCTTACCCCTTCCACTCTAGCTATATCAAGCAAAATTACAGGGTGACATCCCCTGAGAAGTATCATGCATACAACTGGCTCAAAAATATTACAGGAAATGAAAATGATGGTGTTAACAGTAGTTCAACTCAAAATATTTTAGTGAAACTAGAAATCTGTAGATTCTGATGAAGCAAAGGACAGAAAAGAGTTAAGCTTATTTTTTGCCCTTCCAACTTTAAATATCTCTTTTTGCACTCATGCCAATCCACTCAGAAAAAAAGGACAAAGAAAAAAATATAAGACAATGTTACTTTGAAAAGACTAATATCATTTTCCCACAATAGCATTACCAAATGACTAGATGTATATTCTGTACTTCCTAAGGCCATGATGCAACTCAGTTTAACTAAGTATCCTTAAGTATCTCAAGTGTAAACTAACTACATACTGTTTTCTATTCGGGAAACAGGTGAAATGCTTGCTTTGAATCTTCAGTTCAAGGTGCATATCTTAAAATTACTTTTCTCATTGCACCTAATACCCCAAGTTAAAGGAGGAAAGGTTTATAAGCCTCAGAGTTCGTAGGGGTTTCAGTTCATAGCTGGCTGGCTCCAAGGGGGTGACATGGCAGAGGGACATCACAGAAGAGAAACAGTTCATAGCAGGTAGAAGGCAGCAAGGGAGCAACAAGGGGCAATAGCAGCTTCTTTCTGTCCTTTTATATTTTACATAGGCTACCCTTAGGGCAGATAGCACTTACACACAGAACTATGCCAAACCATTCAGTAGACCAATTTAGTAACCACACAACCTTAATCTCAGCATCATGCTCTAGATCCACCCATCTCTGAAAAAGCCTCACCTATGACATGAGGCTTTGGGGAGACATCTAGACCTTGGCATCATCCATGTGGTGCTGGTTTTAGGTGCATGCAGAATGCAAGAGTTGTGAGAACAGGAAGGCTTCCACCCAGATTTGAGAAGGCCTGGGAGGTGAGGCAGTGTGCCCCTGAGAGGGCAGTGTGTGAAGCTGTGCCTGTGAAGCCAAAGGTGCAGTGGAGACCCCAGAAGGTTGGAGAAGTCAGGAGCATAGATCATCTGAGGAAAGCTGCAAAGAGTGACCAAAGCCAGCCAGAGAGAAGCCATAGGCACTAAAACCACCTGAAGTGCTACAGGGGTAGAGCAACCCAAACTCTTTGGAGTTCACAACTTGCCACATATTTCCAGGGATGTTGGACATGAAACTATAGGATTCGGCTTAGTGGTTCCACCACCTGCCTTGCTAGCGCAAGGTCCCAAGTTCGATCTCTGATACCAAAAAAACCACAAAAACTATAGGATTTAATGTTTGCCCTGCTGAATTTTGGTCTTGCTTTGGTCCCATTCCTTTCTATCCCCCTCTTTGTACCTTTGGGAATAGAAATGTTTATCCTATGTATATTGTAAGTGTTTAACTTTCCATTTGTACAGGGGCTCACAGCTAAGAGTCTGCCTTAAATCTCAGAGGAGACTTTGGACTTGGGACTTTTCAGCAATGCTGAAAATGTTAGGACTTTGAAAATTCTTAGAGATAGACCTTTTGCATAAAGAGATGTGCATGAGTGTTTGGGGGGACAGGGGCAGAATGTTATGCCTGTGTCTAGATGTCCTGCTCAAAGCCTCATGAGATCATAGATGGGGCTTTTTAGAGGTGGCTGGATCTAAGGTATGTATGCTGGGATCAAGGATATGATGCCGGGATGGATTCATGGTTCGGGGCCAGGATTAAGGGTGTGAATGCTTCCTGTTTAAGGGTGGGTAGCCTGAATAAAATATGAGAGACAGAAAGAGGGTCACTTGTCACTGTTGGGCATTTGCTGCTTGCTGCCTTCTGCCTGCCTGTTTTGTGATGCCCCTCTGCCATGTCACCCTGCCTTGGAGCCAGCCAACTATGAACTGAAACCTCTACAAACTGTTGAGGTAAATAAACCTTTCTCCCTTTAACTTTGGGTGTCACATATTTTGTCTCAGCAATGAGAAAAAAGTTAACTAAGACAGTGCCCATACTACAAAAAGAATTCAGTGATATTCTACTGATGTATGAATTTTAAAGCACTACCTCATGTCCAAAGCAACAGGGGGTTTACCTGCTGCAAGTAAGCGTCCTGAAGTAACTGGTGCTGCTGTTGCTGCTGGTGAGGATGGTGATGCTGTGAATGAAGCTGCTGTAATCTCCAGTCTCCCTGTTGGAGTTGCTGGAGGACTCTGTGCTGCTGCAGCGGCTGCTGAGGCGGGGGCCCCTGGCCCAGTAAACTTTCAGGGCCATTTCCAGGTCTCAAGGCTCCTGAGATAGGTTTCCAAAAACTTCTATTAATGTATTAATAATTTCAGCAAAGTGGCTAGATATCAGTAATTATTTAACTAGCACATTTATATTACTAATTTATAAATGAAAACCTTCCATATGCACAATCTAAAGAATTTACTATAATTTTAAGTGCCTAGGAAACTTAATTTTGTCATCTGCAACTCTGAAAAAGTCCTAGAAACACTTTGTTTTATGCTTCATCTCTCTATAAACACACCAGCCCTATCAGTTTGACCTACAAATCTCAACTCTATTATGTATTATTATGAGTACTTTCACTGAAACAATTCTCTAAATGTCTAATGGCATTTCCAAGTATTCACATTCTTGTTCTTTAAAGTTTAGTTCAAATCTCTTCCTTGTTCCTTCATCTAACAATTTCACTCAATTCATTACTTCATTCTGTCTTGCATATTAATGGTTTACATGGCTATTTTCTAGCCACAGACCCTGAAAGATAGAATAATACTTATCTGTTGGAGATGTAAAGAGACTTTTATATTAAAAATGTTCATTAAATGCTTACTGTAGTGAATCTATTAACACGATCTCCTAAATGGATATTTACTTACAAGCTCTATAAATTTCATTTTTAAAAAATTCTATAGGGGCCAGGGATTTAGCTCAGTGGTTCTGCCGCCTGCCTCGATCCCCAAAGGATCCAAGTTCGATCCCTGGTACCAAAAAAAAAAAAAGTCTACAAATAAACTTTTAAAATTAGCTAAAAAATAAAAAGTATATAATATCAAAAAAAGGAAATATAACATCTAATACAGTGTAATTTCTGTTTTCTCGCCCAGTGACTTACCTTTATTCAAATATAATTTATGAATAGTTCAGATGTTTCACAACCCAGGGATCTATGTGTTGAAAGATTAGTCCCCATGGTGGCACCACTGGGAGGTAGTACAACTTTAAGAGATGAGGCTTAGTGGAAGGTCCTTAGGTCATTGGGGCTGAGCCCTTGAAGGGGATTGTGGGACCCCAGCTTCTTCCTCTTTTGCTTCCTAGCCATGAAGTAAACAATTTGTTCCACCACGTGGTCCCTGCATTGCTATCCAGCACTAACAACAGAGGCCTAAAAGCAATTGGTACACCCAATCATGGACTGATATTTCAAAAACTGTAAGCCAAAATAAACCTTTGCTCTAATTAATTCCCTCAGATATTTTGTTATATTGATAGAAACCTGACTAAAACAATAATCACTCAATAATCACATATTTTGTATCAGGTGCTGTATTAAGCAGTTACTTAATCCTCCCAACAATCCCATAAAATAGGTGCTAGAATCTTTTAAAGATATGTTGCTAAAAAAATGAGAGAAATACTCAAAGCAGATTCAAGAGCTTCAAAGAACAGGCTCTTCACCATTATAGTATCTTAAATGAAAACATTTTAACATTAAAAGGGCAGATTTGTCATGAAATAAAGTACAAATCAGGGTTTCTTTGAGGTGAATCTTCACATTATACCCCAGACCCTTAAGAGATAAGGTTTACACTCTAAAATCAGGACTGTTTCCTCAGGGGAATTTTCCTCCCATTTGTAGCACTGGGAATTGAACCCAGAGCCTCATTCATGTTTGGCAAACATTCCACCACTGAACTACATCTTCAGGCCTTTCTTATTTTGAGACAGGGACTCACAAAGTTGCCCTGGGGTGAGCTGACCTCAAACTCATAATCCTCCAGCCTCAGTGTCCCCTAAGTAGCTGGGATTAAAGGTATGCACCACCACCATCCCTGGCTGAAAACAAAATTTCAAAGTATCACTCCATACCATAATTCTTATATTTTAGATTAGAAAAATATTTTTTCTAAAAATCAAATGAGACCAGTTTTTAAATTGTAATGTCCACATGATTCTTTTGCCAAGCTTTCGATTCAGTACAAAGATACAACTTTATAAGGTTAGAGTTTCAACTACCTTATTTACAGTACCACACAGAGTTGTCTATACTCTTGAACTTTATCATTACCTACCTCAACCCTACTAGTTGATGACGCTAGAAATAAGTTTATATTTACAGAACCAAAGCAAATTGTGAGCTTTTTATATCATGCTTTTACCCTGCCAATAACTTCCCTTTCTTTACCTTTAGAAAAACAGCCAGGTTTCTTAGACATCAGCAGAAAGCTTCTTGAAACATTATGTTACCTGCTTTCAATATAGAGTTTGCTGTTGATTTATACCTGTAGGAAATCAAACCATAATGGGTTTATTTACACTGACAAAGAAGAGACCAGGTTACACTACCTTTTGGTCTGTGGTTACCAAATTCACCAGGATCAGGGACTTTCACAGGTGTTGCTGAACTTTGAATAGTCAACATACTAGGAGTGCCAGTAGTAGAGTTGGCCTTTGGTCTTTGTCTTGGTGCAATTGAGGTTTCCGTTGGTCCAATGGTATCTGTTATTCTACAACAGAAGAACGCATTTCATTCCAAATATTGGGATTATTTCTAATTTACTTTTTTCTGTAAAATATTTCAACACATGCATTTAATTATTACAGACGATCACATTGTTCTCTTGGCTTCCTCCTAAATCTCTCTCAAATAGTACATGTTTAATGATGATTGGAAAGTAAAAAAATAAAATTAACCATTTTCCTTAAAACAGTATGCTACCATGTATAGTCTGCTATAGAAGGTGGCAGAAACAGTATAGTCCTAACGACTACCTTTAAGGAAATGAGATGAGATTGAAAGGAAACAAAAACCTTCTCATAGGGTTTCAGAAAAAAACCTGAAAATGAACTCTTTGAAGCGAAGCAAGAAGAAATAACCTCCTCTAACTTGGACTCTCTAATTTACATATTTTAAAATATCAATTATCAATTTTTCTTTATATAAATTCAGTATAAAGACTCAAATACTTTTCAATTGGGTCAATTTTTCACTTTCTAGGAGGGTTTGTCATAAAATTTCTTTACTAAATTATCTCACCATATATTCAAGTGATTTAATACTTACATATAATTTATCAAGCTTACAGCCGCTGTATTTAGAGAAAACCCTATCTATAACTGCATCCATGTAAAACTCTTTCCCACTATCTATATGCACCACAAGAGGGAGCCCAGTTAACAACTATCTTTCCAACAGGAAAGACAAAATTAAATCAAAAGATTTCAGAAAAACAGAAATATATCATGGGAATAGAAAGTGTGTTGTCTTCTAAAAATAACATCTTTTAAATGGGATAGGTAGATATTGAACAAAACATGAAAATTGAGCTAAGGCAATAAAAGATCATTTATACATATAAACAATCATAGCTCACTTTAGTATGAATTCACATTATGGAGTGTGGCACTAAAATCAATGGTATACACTCCCTAACCTCAAGTAATTTGGAAGAAATATTGTATACAACCTTTCTTTTAGCTCTCCATTCTTTCTTAAGTACGCTGTATAGGCTGAATTTCACCTTTCTAAGTTCCTGAACTACACTGCTCTTTAGAGATACACAACATGCATGATCAAAGAGGAATCTTCTAAAAAGCATGTTATAAGTCAGGAAGACCTTGTTCAATCTAATATCTAATTTATTTAACAATGTATTAATACTTATTCTACATTTCTGATGTTCACTGTACAACATTCTATCCTCAGAGAATTTACAGGATATATAAGAAGACAGGGCACGTGTTGGTGAAAATATATCAAAATGTAAGAGTAAAATATTCAGAGCCAAGCTAGTGCTGCCAAGAGTTTCATGAAGAAGTAATTCTATCCTTAATTTGGCTAGAAAAGGCTTCAGGTAGGCACTAGAGAGTAAAATTTTTAAATGAATATTATTTCATTAGACTGAAAAAAAAGACTAAGCATTCTCTATGAAGGAAGGGATGGGAAAAATATCTGGACAGATTAGGCAAAGAGAAGCAAAAACTGTACTGAAGACAATAATTACTGCATCAACATTGCTGCACTGCCTCACCTTCATCCTCACAACCTTCCTAGTGCCATTTTCTGTGCTTTCCTCCTATCACCTGAATAATCTTCCTAAACACTCAGACTCCTCTCCTCCTTAAAATCCTTCAGTGTTTCCTTCTGCCAGTTCTCAACATTTCCATCTTTCAAGCACATATGTCAGATAACTTTCACATGTTTAACAATGTTGAAACCACAAGCCAAGTTTAGGTTTTTGAGAAGTAAAGCAGGTTTCCACAGACTGAAGGCAGGGCAGATGGATTAAAACACCCATTACATGGGCATCTGAAATGAATAGACATTTCTCAGACAAAGAAGTAGAAATAGCAAATAAATACATGAAAAAATGTTCAACGTCACTGGTCATTCGAGAGATGCAAATGAAAACAATGCTGAGATTCCACCTCACTCCAGAAAGAATGGCTGCTATCATGAAATCAACCAATATCAAATGCTGGCGGGGCTGTGGGGAAAGAGGAACCCTGCTCCACTGCTGATGGGAGTGTAGACTGGTGCAAGCACTGTGGAAATCAGTATGGAGATACCTCAAAGAACTAGGACTGGAAGTCCCATTTGACCCCGCTATTCCACTGCTGGGGATCTTCCCCAAAGAATTAAAAGAATCATACCACAGTGATATATGTGCACCCATGTTCATAGCAGCACAGTTTGTGATAGCTAAAACTTGGCAACAGCCCAAATGCCCATCAACTGGAGACTGTATAAAGAAAATGTGGTTTTTTTATAAAATGGAGTACTACTCAGCCATAAAAAATGAGAAATTAGAGACATTTATAGCTAAATGGATGCACATTGAGGCAATACTCCTAAGTGAAATAGGACAAACATGTATAAATACTGAATAGTTTCTCTGGTGTGAGAAACTCAAAGTGTAAATGGGGACTAAAATGTATGATAGCTAATGTGAAATAGGATTTAAAGGGGCAAAGGGGAAGGAGGTGGGAGGGGTAGGGGAAAGGAAAGAAGGGAATGGAACTAATGTGAGAAAATGGAAGAATAGGAACAAAATCTTTGTAAATAGGGAGGAATGGAGTGGTTGAAGGGAGGACTGGGCAAGTGTGAAAGATGGGAACCAAGAGAAACTATGTAAAGGTGCAAATTTCCAATGATGAATATCATTATATTGTATATCTAAAATGTACCAATGATTAGAATGAATAATCGATAATGCAAAATAGGAAGAAAAGGTCCAAAGGGGTAGGGGTAGTGGGAGGGGCAGGGAAAAGGAAAGAAGGAAAAGGAAAAATGCTGAGAAATGGAAAAAATGGAAATAAAGTCTTTGTAAATAGGGAAGGGTGGAGGGGGTGAAGGGAGGGCTAGGAATGGGGAAGAAATAAGAACCAAGATGCATCATGTAAAGGTACAATTCCCAGTGAGAAATGTAATTGTGTTGTATACCTAAAATGTACCAATAAAAGAATTTAAAAAAAAAAAACATCCATTCCAGCTTGCTGAATAATGAAACTCTGTAAAGATTCTCTCCTTAAAATATGGCATTTACATGAAAAAACTAATTTTTAATATTAAGCTTTGTACACATTTAGATTTTTTCAAGTTCTTTAGTGACTTTAATAGAGTAAATTTATCTGAATGAGCAATCAGCACCAATGAACTTCATATTTTAATATACATAAGGCACAGATTTAATGTACTATAAATAAGTTCTGCAAATTTAAGTCATTAAAATCAGAAAAACTGTACACATTAATGGACCACCATGTTGTTTTGACACATACATATATATGAATGTTTAAAACAAGCACTGCAAATCCAAATGGTTTTATTTCCTTTATGACTGTATAACTACAACTTGTGTCACATTGAAAAGATACTCAAATCATCCTTGTTCAGTTGACTCATTTTTTAACGTGCAACTACCTTCTTAAAGGTTTTTTGCTCAACAATTAAAAACAAGTAACAATAAAATTCAACTAACTTCTTAAAATAATTCATAATTACCACTCAATAACAACAGTGGCTGATAATCAAAGCTCTATCACAGATAAGACAGAATTGTGGTCGTTAGATTCTTGCAGATTAGATGTAACTTTATTCCACCTCTTCCTCAAAACAGCACTTTGAAATTCAAGTGAATGAAGATATTTTTAGTGATATTAGATTATTTAAAAGTAAATCACAAATGATACTTTAACAATTTATGAGTAAAGATCATTTCTAACACATCTCACAACCAAGTCTCAACAGATTTGACTGAAGGTTGAAGAGTCAATGGCCTAAAGGACAAAGTCCTCATTTCTCAGCATGCCATACAAACAGGGTTGCTCATGACTGATATTACCTATATTCCAGCTTCCTCCCCCACCACTATGAGTATGTCCCCTTATGCTCTAGTCCTGTAGTATTACCAGGACCATTCTTGCCTAAACTGCCTACCTGCTTTAGTCATTCCAACCCCTCCAGGGAACTAAGGACCCATCCTTCAAGAAAGAATTCTGCAACTCCTAGAGAAAGTACTCCTTTCATCCTCTTGTTTTCCTTCCTCCCAGTCTTTTCCTTCACACTCTCAGAGTAGCCCACTATGTATCAGGTAGTAATCATTTACAGTTACAACTGAAAACTCCCTGGAAATAACTACTTCTTTCTCTGTGCAATTCCAGTATCTGTATCTTGCATATAAAATGCATATGACAAATATCTTTCTGTATGTCAAAATAATTAGCATAAGATATAATATAAAAAGAAGCTGTAACCAAGAAATCTCCCCAAATGCAATACTGCACTTGTCTGATAATCTAACAAATGGTCCTGTTTATTAATTTTTAAGTTCAAAAAAATAAATACAGAAAGTCATTAAAAGATTCAGGTCTTAACACCTTTCTTTCTTCCTTTCTCTCTCTTTTTCTCTCTTTCTTTCTTTCTAAGACAGGGTCTCACTACACAGGTTCAGGCTGGCCTTGCTATGTACCCCAGGCTGGCCTCAAACTTGTGGCAATCCTCTTGCCTCAGCCTCCAAAGTGCTGGGATTACAAGTGTGTGCCACCATGCCCGGTTCTCACAATATATTTCAAACTTTTATATTAGATAAAAATCTTGTATCTAATATTTTTTAAAGCCTATTTCATACTTGCTGTTATGGCTTGTGTCTAGATGTCCCCCCAATCCCTCATGTGGTGAAAGGTGAGGCTTTTCACAGGTGGCTGGATCTAGAGTGCATGATTATGGAATTAAGGATGTGATGTGGGACTGATTAAGGGTTCCCCACCCTTGGTTTGAGTGTTACCCCATAGCCTGAATAAAATATAAGAGACAGATGCTGTCATAGCTGTCAAATATAAGAGACTATCCTGTCATAGCTTGCTGCTTATTACTTTGCTGCTTTGCTGCCTTCTGCTTGCCATGAACCACTTCTCTGCGATGCCCCTCTGTCAAGCTACCCTGTGTTGGAGCCAGCCAACTATGAACTGAAACCTCTACAAACTGTGAGTCAAATAAATCTTTCCTCTTTTAACTTTGGTGTTGGGTATTTTGTCTCAGCATGGAGAAAAGGAACTAAGACACTTGTTATCTAAACTATGCAACAGGCAATAAGTAATATACATTTTTTTTAATGGGTGAAGATGACATTTAATCAATGACATTTGCTAGGATTAAAACAAAACCTATTGTACAACTTTTTTAAAAATGCCTTTTCAATTTTATCAAAGCTTTGCCTACCTGGCTTTCATTTGGCTTTTCCTAGCAGCTGCTTCACTAGCAGTCATTGGTTCAGGCAGAGCTGAAGGAATCAAAGAATTCTTGGAAGAAAAAAGCAAAACTTCATTTTAGCTTTAAGTGCAAAAAGGTTTATAAAACTATGGACATACTATTGAACCTAAAAAATACTACCTTTGAGATACCATTATTTTCCCATCAGAAACCTAAAAATTATTCACATATGTCTACAAGATCTAGCCTATAAATATCACTAGATGTCATACACATCACTTTCATATTCATGTCCCCCAAAAATCTTTGGAAAATACACAAAACATCATTATATCCAAATCAGGGATGCATAAAATTTAGGTAAAAAGAAACATTATATTACACTTATAAATCAATGACTGTTTTGCACTTCAGAAAAAGAAGTTAACTCCAAGGGTAGGGATACAGTTTCTAAATATAGTACCACAAATAATTTTCAGAAAGTGGGGACGGTAGGCTTTGCTCAGTTGTTTATACCCAATGTTTGACTCAGGGTAGGCAATCAATAAGTATTAGTTAAGTAGAAGGCTAAAAGATCAAGTTAAATGGCAATAATGCTATTTTCATTAGTAGAATGTTAGAACTGAATAATTTCAGCCTCCAACAAGGAAAATATTAAATTGGGTAAAACCAAAAAGGAAAGGCTCATTATATACTTTTAATAAGTAGTGGGTCAAGTCATACATAAAAGGAAAAAATAAGAACAAGTTAGGACAGAATGACCTAATGACCAGAATAAAGTTGAGAATGGCTTAAAATCACTGATGATTCTAACAACCAGTTCATCTGAAGTAGTTGATGTAATCTGTAAATAGCAAACAATTCAAAGCCTTTGAATATTATTAGCTATTTCTATATGAGCTCCTTTCATGAACTAGGCACTGGGTTGTAATTAGTTGTAATCTTTACAATTACTTAGTCTTACGGGGAGGGGGGACCATTAACTAACCTCCCAAAATACACAAAATCAGTCACTCTAAAGATAAAATTAACTGAGGTCTTTCTATTTACATCATCTCTCCTTTGTACACTAAAGGCCCCCAAATTTTCTCATTTAACAAGTGCTTAGTGTCTGTCAGCAATTTTTCACCACACCTCTACACAAGACAAAACAAAACAAACCAGTCTTGTTTATTAAATAGACCTAAAACTTAGTAAGAGTAGTCTGTGTTAGACTGTGTCTGTATCATTGTGTTTTGCTCTTAAATGGAGCATATCCTGGAGTGACCCTGCAGTCTGCTCTCCAGGGCACCTCAAAACACAGTTTGGGAAATGTGGCTTTATACCAAAAATACAATCACAACTGTACTATCAGACCACTTGTCATAAAAAATTAACTCTCAGAGTCTATACACATGTACATGATAAAACGGATTTTAAATTCATACCCTCTTTAAAATACTACTTACACTGATGTTGGAAACTGGACAATCCCTTTTGGCAAATTTAAATGCAAAATAGGATACTTGAAATATATCAGGTCTATGCTCTGGGTCTGGTTCAAGCATGAATCCTGTAAGAATAGATCACAATGTTAAGACATTGATTATAGATACCAATTTATAAAGGATAAAAATATTTTTCTGTTTCATTCTAAGATCAATGACTCTAGCAAACTTTGTTAATGTTTATATAAAGTACAGAAATTACTATATTATGCCAAACTAAATGGCAGATTAGTCACCGAACTGTTCTGTACCTGCAGTATGAATGGCATACATTTGACTATTCTCGTAAGTGTTATGGCTTGTGTCTAGATATCTCCCCAAAGCCTATGCAGTCATAGGTGGGGCTTTTTCAGAGGTGGCTGAATCTAGAGTTTCACTGATTCATGGTGCAATGCTAGGATTAAGGGTGGTGGGATTAAGGGTGGGTGATTATTAAATCAGTATACTGATTGGTTTGGCACCACCCTAATCCCAGTAGCCTGTATACAATATAAGGGATAGAAAGAGGTTTGTCTTGCCCCTTGCTTTGCTACCTTCTGCATGCCATAAACTGTTTCTCCCCTATGATGCCTGTCTGCCATGCCACCCTACCTTGGAACCATATGATTATAGACTGAAACATCTACAAACTGTGAGCTAAATAAACCTTTCCTCCCTTAATTTGTGGGTGTTGGGTATTTTGTCTCAGCAACAAGAAAAGTAACTAAGAAGGTGACTCAAGCAAAGCATAAATTTAGCAACACAAAACAAATAGTCAATTTAGTAAACTCTGGGGAATTATTCAAAATAAGTTCCAGGATCATAGTGAGAGAGCCTTCAAAATAATTCCATTTGAAGTAATTCTGCTATCTAAAATACTTCTATTTTGAAATGATCCTGAATCAAATAAAGGCTAAATTGTGCATATTATAATCTATTTACCAAAGTAGTACAAGACTGCTACTATAGGTTTCCAAAAATATTCTTTTTTCCCATACTAACAACTTCACTATAGTTTTGTATTTTTCAGTGTTTATCTGTAATATGTTCAAAAACTTAAGCACGGTTGTATTATGAACATCACCTTTACAATACTACTTGAAATACCTGAGATCTTTTTCTAACCAAAATGACCATGACCATTTGTCTATTTCTTGGGTGATTTTTTTTATTAATGTGTAACTTTATTATCATTCACTAAACACACACATATACAAAAATTAAAATTATTCAAAGAAAAGCAATGCAAGGGAAAAAACTATAATAATATTCAAATATAATAGAACTCAACCAAAGCAAAACTGAAAAGTACTTTAGCATTTTTCCATATAATTTTAAAAAAACCTCTCAAGCATTAACCAGACATCAGAAGATGTGATTTGTTTTAGAAAGACTTTCAAAACTAATATTAAACAAATAGTGGTCTAGAGAAAAAATCTAATTAGTAGACTCTACATAGGCCAAATTTTTTTTTAATTTAAATTTCAATAGTCATGTGACAAGTGATGGAAATATAATCTGAGAAATACGTTATTAAGCAATTTCATCCATGTGTATCGCAAAGTATCACACAGAATGCCAACTTCTAAGTGCAAACTGAGAAGGTATACGTCAATCATCTGTGATGGCCCCTTGATATTATCCAAATACGCAGTTAAACACGAGATACATGAGGCTACCACTGGCATAGCAGCACACTGTTTCACAGAAAACTCTTTTATATAAGTAGGATTATGCTCTAAAGGATGAAAAGCACAGCATATTAAATACCTAAAACAGTAACAGTCATTTATTACACTATCAAGTACTGTGCACTATACATAGTTGTATGTGCTGCTTCTGGAAACATACCCTTCTCTCCTTTGATCTCAGTGACTCTTCCTTCCCAACCCACTGATGAGCTCCAGCCTAGTCCCTATCTACATCTCTTCCTACTATTTTTTTGTTTTTGTTGTTTTAGGTACCGGGGCTTGACCTCAGGTCCTTGCGCTTGCGCAGCAGGAGGCGAAACCACTGAGCTAAATCCTCGGGCCCTCTTCCTATAGTTTTAAACACAATCTATATATGGATTCTTTCCAGATTCCAGCCTGTAACCTGATCTCTCCTCTTGCCCTCCTGCCACCCCCCTACCTCTTTGAACCTTTTCTTCTTATTTCAAATTATCCATTATTTCATTTTAATCATTTTAATCCTTACACTTTAAGATTCTCACACTAGAGAAACTATTAGGTATTTACACGTGTGTCCTATTTATTTCACTTAAGAGGATGACCTCAATACGCATCCATTTAGCTTTAAATGTCTCTAGTTTCTCGTTCTTTATGGCTGAGGAGTACTCCATTTTATAAAAAACCCACATCTTCTTTATCCAGTCTCCAGTTGATGGGCACTTAGGTTGTTTCCAAGCTTTAGCTATTATAAACTGTGTCACTATAAACATGGGTGCACATATATCACTGTGGTAGGATTCTTTTAATTCTTTTGGGAAGATCCCCAGCAGGGGGATAGCTGGGTCAAATAGGACCTCTAACCCTAGTTCTTTGAGGTATCTCCATACTGATTTCCACAGTGGTTGCACCAGTCTGCACTCCCACCAACAGTGGAGAAGGGTTCCTTTCTCCCCACACCCCTGCCAGCATTTGTTACTGGATGACTTCTTTATAACAGCCATTCTTTCTGAAGAGAGGTAGAATCTCAGTGTTGTTTTCATCTGCATCTCTCGAATAACCAGTGATGTTGAACATTTGTTCATATATTTATTTGCTGCTTTTACTTCTTTTTCTGAGAGATGTCTGTTCACTTCAGATGCCCATTTTTGAACTGAGTCTTTGAATTTGGGAGGGTCTGACTTTTTTCAGTTCTTTATATATTCTAGATAGTAGTCCTTTGTCTGAGGTACAGCTGCTGAAAATTTTTTCCCACATTGTAGGCTGTCTCTTAGCTGTTGATTTCTCTTGCAGTGCAGAAGCTTTTTAATAAGATGAGATCCCAGGTGTTGATTCTTGCTGCTAGTTCCCGTGCTACTGAGGTTTTGTTCATAAAGTCTTTTCCTATGCCAGTGTCTTCAAGAGTTCTACCTAACTTATCTTGCAGCAAATTTAATGTTTCTGTCTTACTATTTAGATCTTTAATCCACTTCAATCTTAGTTTAGTGCACGGTGATTGGGTGATTTTTAATTTAAAAATTTTATAAGGTTGACATTTATATTTTAATTTTATAACTGAAAAATTTGAATTTTGTAAAGACATCTCCATGACTAATTCTGCTTCATGAATTCTAAATTCTCATAATGCTTAAATTGTTTTTAAACTATTTAAAATGTAAAACAGTATTGGATATTTTGAAATTTGCTAATAACATGTATAGAGATCTAAGTACATAAATAGCTAAGATAAAATTATAAATCAAAATTAATTAAATCTTCCTCCACATTTAATTTATGAACATGGAAGTGTAACACATCTCTAATGAGATAATAAGCTTAGGTCAGCTGAAAACACAGCTCTGTGGTGAGTAATATAGAGCACAAAACTTTGAAAATTTATTTGGAAAATTCTGAATTAAGTTTAAAAAGTACAAAAGCTCTGCATATAATATTATTTTATATATTTAAAATGTTAACATAATATTTATAAAATTTATTCTTTAAGTTTTAACACCACTGTTAGATTGAAATAACTAAAAACATTTTAATCCAAATATTTATTAGTTTATATTTAACCAAAAAGATTTCATGGATCTATAAGGTTCATCTACCCCCAAAATAAATCATATTTTATTTTGATACCAAAATATTAAATGTTTTAAGAGCAACAAGTGTATAAAATTTAATTTTATAAAAATAAATTTAAATACCTTTTAACAGTGCTTACTCATACATTTTTTAAAACCAGTCCAATAACAAGAAATGTAAAATTCACAAAATTATGATCTTATTTTTCTATTGGAACAAATAAGTTTATTTGGCTTTTAAAATTTAAGTTCAATGGCAGCTAATTGTATATATTTGTTCCTATAAAGACATGAACTGCTATAAAACTGGAAGATTTTTTTTTAATAAATGAGAAAATTAGGACTCACAGAAAAGTAATTCACTGAGGGCTGGAGCAGACAAAATAATAAGGGCAATAAAGGAAGTGTGTATGATTTGGTTCTAAATATAGGCCCAAAATTTAGCTCTCCACTTTCTAGCTGTCAATATAAATAGGGCAACATGATCCATTACATGAATCAGAGAGTCCCTCCCTCACACACACAAAAAAACAGGTGCTACATAAAAAGTGTTCCTGATATGAGCCGAGGGCAAAGAGCAAACTCCCTAGTCTTTGGAAAGATGGCTCACACAGAGTGAACACCATCTTGAAGGAACTGCAGTAAGTGGTATAGGACTTCCTCTTACACCTTTCTCCCATGTGGACTAGTGTTGTATCACTAAAATGCAGTTCACACAAAGAAACTATAAAGGATATAAAATAGTGTGGTATAAGAATGCACCTCTCTGGAGTGCCTGGCTCAATCCATGAAAACTTTAAGTATCTAGAGAGAAACAATATGATCCTTCCAGCAATCCTAAATGGGTTTTGTTCTTTTCTTTCATCAGAATTGAGAAGCATTGAAGGGACAGAAACAAATTTGAGATTTTTTTTTTTTGTTCTAACTAACATTCATACAAGTAATTCTCTCTCATATTAAGCACAATACCACATCCTTTAATTATCAGGTAGTTAGGCTGGAGGAAGAATTTGTTATAAGAAAACGATAGGACCTCCACTAGCCCTGGCTCACATTTCCATGTGGGAATATATGTTGGAGCCAGTTTAGCTTGTCTTATAGTATTGACCCCATTTATGCAATATAAAATCAATTTAAAAGGTCATATCTAGTATTTAAAGAATTAAGGTAGAAAATATTAGAGTGCATTAATGTGGCAAATATAAGCAACATTTCATGAAATTTCAAAGTTTTGATTTCAGTTCATACATGTACATGTGTATGTGAGCACATGTATCAGGTATGATAGTTAAGCTTGACTGTGTCCTGATTGGCTTGGAGTGGCACTGGGGACTGGTAAAGCACAGTGCTGGG